GTACTTTCTTAAGATGCTGAAGCTGAAAATTTTACCAACAAAATACTGACATTTTTCTGCAAAGTTTACGTCGTATTGGTTATACAGAATTAAAAGACTGACGCCAATATGTGCCTCGTTTCTGAGCAGTAAAAAACTATTAAAATAGGTATCAAATTAAAGGCCTTGATGAGCTGGTTACAAAGATATAAGTTTTAGAGCCGCCCAGTGTATCGTTCCAACACTACGGTCCAAAAAGATTTCAAATTTTAGGCTACTTTCTTTATGTTTCTTTAGCAAAATTGTGTAGATTTTAAAAATTCAAAATCCTACAAGTTGAATTTTGTTTGATTTAGTTTTTAATATAGTTAAGCAAAAACAATTTGAATATTTCTAATGTTTTTGAGTAGGTTAAGGTGCATTTTCCTATGCACCTTAATGTTCCAAAATCAACGGAAAGTTGATGTTCCAATTAGAATTTTCTACTGTTAGTCAGTTTGGAACATAAAATTTATACCATTAAATTCTTCATTTAATTTTATTAAATGTAGCATTTTGAATTTTAAAAATTTAAGTTTTGCTGAAGAAACATCAGTTTGAAAGTAACCTAAAATTTGGGACATTTTTGGATCGTAGTGTTGGAACGGTACACTAGGCGGCTCTAAAACTTACAGTCTGTCAAGAGCGTGTGCGGCATAACTAGGAGTCGGTAAAAAGTATCATCCTAATTCTTTCGTGAGTGGATAGAGGGAACTTTTGCTCTTTATGCATTATCAAGAAATATTCAGTTGACATTAGAGTTTTGTCAGATAAACACGTAAAACGCCATAAGTGTTTATTTGCTCAGACAAAATAATTAATTATTCGAAAACTATTGCGAATTTCGCAAAATGGTATTTGACTTTTCTGTTCCGTTTAATTTATTCTACTTTCCTACGATTTGTGTCAAGAAAGGTTTCGGACATCCTGTATATATACATTATAAGAGAGGTAGTCCGATACTTCCTGAGCAAAAACCTACGTATCATGCGGCCTATGTACATTATAAGAGAGAGAGGAAGAGAGAGAGAGAGAGCAAGAAAGAAATATATTTCCTAATACTCTTGATAGTTATTGATGTAATTATTTTATTTAAAAGTTTATACACCAGCAACTATATAACTAGTAACAATTGTTTCTAGTAGCTGATTGCTGACAAATATAAAGATTGTTTCATCTAAAATTACTGAAAACAATTTTCAAATAGACAAAAAGATATCTTTTAAATTACTAAAAGATATCTTGCCATGTCTCAAAACGCCTTGCATTTTTTGAAAAGATGTCTTTTAAGGATCTAAATCATCTTATGCAACATGTTAAGATATCTTTAAGATTTCTGGAAGAAATGATGAATTTTTTCTAATTGCACGAACAATTAGATAACAGTCCAATTTATATGTAGTGCAAGTTTTAATGAATTTTCTTAACAAACACATTTTGTTTTACAACCTCATTAAGAATTCCAAATATATTTAAGACACTCGCATATTTATTGTTGCACTAAAAATATCATATAAACTATGTTCAGGCAAACAACATCGTTATCCAGACAAATGAAAAGGATGATAATGATAATGAGACCAATGAGAAGTGGGTTAAACGAACATCGCGTGCAAAAAAAAATGATTTGTGCGTTGTCGTAACAATGAGCCATTAATAATAATTCCCCACTTAATGCGCGACGCATAAGCCGGCGATCCGGTGCATTGCGAATACATCTTCTTGCCTTTGTGACGAATGCAAGGCGCATGATACACCCTCAATGATAACCCGGGGAAATAGCTGTGCATAATGCTCCGTACAAAGTTATGCATTATAATGAGATAATTGACGTCGATTCGAGGGCGACAGAAAAACCGGAAAAAAGCGCGCATAATATCGGCGCGAATTCCCGGCCGCCGGCGCCGACAATGGAAAATTTCGCGAAGGATATACGACCACACGACTTTCCTCACGACTCGGGAGACAATCGATCCGACGCGTCTGCCGCGTCTCTCGCGCGCCGCGAGTTTCCTCAGGAGCCCCGTAAATCATCGTGTCTATCAGTTAATTTCGCAAAACTTTCTCGGCAAGCACATATGTCATTATATAATCAGTATTTACGTTCGCGCACTGATAAACGCGCTCAAGAATATATTCATAGCGAAAGTTCGCCAACCCGCGAATTCCAGAACATTCGACGTTCCGCGCAAATTCGAAATGGATCCAGGAATGGAAGCGATCCAAAAACGGAGGCGGTCCAATGGTGCAATCCTATAATTCTTAACGACAGTTATCGTTATGTTGTCGTTGCGCGGCTTTTCTATTATATATTATATCTGCGCAAGGATAACATAACGATAATGACACTATCGTTAAGAGTTACAGGATCGCATCACAGAAATGGAGGTAACCCAGAAATGACGGTTCAGGAATGGAAGTGATTTAGGAATGCAGGTGATCCAGAGTGGAGAAAAAAGGAAAATTAAGATTGGAAGTAGAGATTGGAAATGTGGAAATAGTATATGGAAAGAGAGCAAGAGAGAACGACAAAGAAAGAGAGAGAGAACAAAGAAATAAAAGGAAACTAGAAGGGGAAGGAGAAAGAGGAGAGGAAGAGAATAACAGGAGATATAAGAGCTTTCTTGTGTTTTCAGTCTCATGGTTGTAAATATTATGTATTTTAGTTAATATCTGTAGCACGCACACATACTCTAAATAGTACGTGTGTATCACACTGTGTGTGTCTTTTCCTCCCTCTCTTTCTACACAACTTTTCTTCTAGTTTTCCTACTTAAAATCTAACTTTAATTATTCGAGAAATTGGAATAAATTTCAATTTAATCTAGAGAATTTTCTATAGTTAGAATAAGAATAGAAGTTTCAATTAATATTGCGATATAATATATCTATTTGAATCAAGTTTGAATAAACTGATCGGAATCTATGCTAGATATTAGATACTAGAAATGTAGTTTCTAAATATGTGATTCTCAAAATGGAAAACCCAACATTTTTCTGTTCTGTTCTAATCTGTTCTGTTCTTTCTGATCTTCATGTTATATTAGAAAAATTAACGAAACATATATTGATTTTCCAAAAAATTTCATTATTCAGTAAAATACGCAGTGTTCTAAAAATATTTCATTTTGTACTTTTTTAATGCAATAATTGGTATAAAAGTGAAATTCTCTATTTGATATAATAAAAAAATATATAGTGAAACAAAAGCGTAAGTTTCTATAATTTTTGCTTCGATTTTAGACAGAGAACCCACACATGTTTGGGGCAAAAATGAGATTTCTTATTGGTATAGATCGTAGTAACATAAACATTTCGAGACAAATTTGAGCATTCGGCATCTATGCTGTATCTGAAAATCTTGAGAAATCTCTATATAGCAATTAATTGACAACTGCAGAAAGCGCGGCTCATTACAGACCTCGTTTATTACCCCCGAATGCGAGGAGAATAAAGCTTCGCGTGAACATTACTGGCGATCGACCCCAATTTACGTAGATACTATCGGGAGAGTTAATCAAATTAATGCCGATAAGCGGCAGTCGCTATTAATAACTTACAACGAATCAAAAATAGTCACTACGGCACGAACGTATTGATCGACGTCCCTATTCCGTGCCGGCCGGAAGGTCCACCGACCTGAATTTCTGTTTTAAATACTGCGCACGTTATATCTACGGCATCTCACGGCGAATTCGTGCCGTACATTTTTTTAACATCGACTGCACGAGTAAATTGGGAATTGAGAACTCGCATTCGTTTCCTTCACAATTGGCATCGAAGTGCGCTATGGCACATTAGTGCTAAACGCTAAAGTGCTGACCTCGAACAATATCGACGACTTTCCGATATTATCTGCAAATTTGCGTTGTATTTATTTGCACTTATTAAAGTTCTTCGGCGATAAGCGTTGTTCGTTTAGAAACCATATGAGTCGAAAATGTTTAAACCGACAACACGTACACTAGCAATTTAATAATTCTAAGGTGCTCTTTCTCTTAAGATGCTCTTAAGAGAATGTTGAAATGGATGACGAACTCGAAAAATGTCGATAACGTAGAGGCGATCATATTATCTTTTTTGTATTTCTTGTATACGTATTTGTAATACACACACTGAAAATACGTTTAATAATGAATTGGAGCATTGTTCAATATGTAACGAAAAAGATAGAACATTTTAAACTTAACATTCTGGTCTCTTTGGTCAGTTGGCGTAAATACTTATTTGATACAAAAATTCTACAGATTGTATGTACCGCACATTCCTTTGTTTGCTTCCTTAACGAAAAATTTGAAAAACAATTCTATATTTTTATAAATGAAAGAAGAACTTCAAAAGTAAAACTTTAGATTTTACATTTCAAAGAGTGATACCATTGGTCCATATGTCCCATTTCTGGGCAGTGAAAAATGTACTTAAAATGGACACCAAATTAAAGGTCTTGATGAGCTAATTACAAAGATATACAGTCTGTCAATTAAGAGTGTGTGCGGGTTAATTTGTAGAAAAAATTATTTAATACAATTTTCAAATATATGGATACTTTGTACTCGATCCAAACAAAGATGCAATTATATTAATAATAGGTCCAGTCACCAGACGTCGAATTGCCTGGCAGCTTCGAGGCATGCTTTCGACCAAGTTGACGGTGTATTCATGCGGTAAGGACCTTCAAATGTGTGTGACGAATTTCTCGAGTTAACTGCTTCAAAGTGAATATTTTTCTTCCACGAAGCTTGTGCTTGATATATGCCCACATATTCTCGATTGGGTATAACTATGGCTACGAGATACAGCGTAGCTATAAGCGGAGGGATGCAGCGAGCTGCGATTCGCGTGTATCACGGTCGCGCGCTAACCCGAGCGCTTATTTGCTCAGACAAAATAATTAATTACTCGAAAACTAT